TTCCTGAAACCAAATTTTGGCATTGGAAGCACAAGAAGTAGCTGGCTCGATTAGCTCAGTAGGTTAGAGCGCACGCCTAATAAGCGTGAGGTCATGAGTTCGATCCTCATATTGAGTATCTCCTTTTGTTGTTGTTGATTATGTCATCCGGATGCCCTTTAGTTGATTGCCATGGTCGTCTTTTTGTGGGGGACGCTTGGAGGCAGAAAGAAGGTGCGACGTTGGCCGTTTTTAGCTCTGGAGTCGAGGGATTCGATTCACGATTTCAGATATGAGGCGCGAGCTTACCCATCAGTTCGATCCTCATATTACAGTGAACCTTAACTGGTACCGGCAGCACTGCTGGTACTGGTACTGTTGCAGTTTTGTTCCTTGTGCCTTCCATACCTTGTCAGTGCGACCGTACTGTACTGTACTAAGCGAACGTCTCTTTGTGTTGTTCTTTCAAATTCATGGGAGGAACTCTGAAGCAGCTGAAGAGTGGGGTCCAGCTAGAGTACCGTAAGGTAGTTGAGTCCTAGTACAATGGATTGTACTCGTAAAGTCTTGATGATTCCTTGGTTCATGTTGACTCGACGCGCTCTACGTACCGTACGTGGAGAGTCTTCCTGGACACTCTCTTCGTCTTAGTAATGAAATGAAGCTTTGCGGTCCTTTCTCGAGGGTTCAGGCGAAGACATGTATGTTGGATCTTGGAGATCGAGCACCTCACGACCAGGCAATGCCAGCAGAGACGCAAAGTACAGGTGCATGTGCAGTATCATTGTGGTTGTCGAAAGACTGTTGTTCTGTGGCAAGAGAAATTCTTTTCCTTTGTATCTTTCTGTTACGGAATGATGCAGCAGCTGCATCTACATGTTGGACTACCGGTGCCAGCTTCGTCATTGGTCATCGTGGTGTCGTAGAAGATTGAATCGATTGAACGATTCAATCGATTCGATTCAAATAATAGAAGCGGACAAAGCTGCATAAAGAAAAGGCTTTACCAAGGCCATTTCCCCTTGCGGTAAACATACCGGTAGCGCCAACGGTCCATGAAGCTTGATACCTTCATGCTCGAGGGTGCTGGTATTTGTATTTGTATTGTTGCTCTGTACATGTACATGTAGCAGTCCTCTTCACCATGACACCACGAATCCTCGTCTAAATACCATGACACCACCCACGGATGCGTCGGTGCCATTGGCTCTGAGTATTAACATGTTTGGCAACGGCGAGAGGATATATAAGGGGGTTTTAGAGTAGGGAAACGGCGAGAGGATTGATTGATGAATGGCATCTTCCACGGTGCGATGGACTCAGCGTTTCTCTTAATAGAAGGTTGACATCACATGGCCTGACGCGAAGCCTCTGCTATTTTATCTACCATTGGGAGACTTCCTTACGCTGCTCGAAGGGATATTTTGCTTGGAAGCACCTCCGAACAATGTCAATTCGACCACCATTCGACCGTACATGTACCTTGGCCGTTTCAGTTTTTGAAATAAAACGGCAACCATGACGAGCTCTTTTTGATTTTTGATGTTGACACCAACTTGACACCTTTTTCGATTTTGAGTTGGTCTTGCCAAAATGAAACGATCGTTTGACCTAAATTGCTTTGAAACGCCGTTGCCTTCAAGCGAGCTTTTCTCTCTCAACCAAACAACACAACCAACCTTACTTCTTCTTCCAATGCATGACGATGACACCTTTGCCGGTGCTGCTTGCAGGAGAGTGACTGGGCTTCCCCTCTGTGGGGGTCCACTTGGCACTCTTCGCCGGCAATGGTGTTGTCTTGCGGTGGTTCCAGTGGGTTGGTTGGTCCTCGTTTAAGCAACGGTCGGTTCCTCATCTTCAACAATTGAAACAAGGTCAGTTCACATTCTTCTCACAGATTCACAATGGTGCCATTTTCCGGTGCTCCTTCGTGGGCTGCTTCGAGCCTTGTTAGAGGAGTGAGTGGGCGGCCATTTCATGAGTCCGTTCCATTTGCTCTTCGCCGGAACCAGTCTTTCATTTCTTCATTTGATATTGCAACATGTCTTCTAACCGTCCTTCTTTCCTCCTTTTGTCGAAATATCACGCGGTTGACAATGCCGTTGATAACTCGATCGTCTTGCGGTGGTTCTGTTCAAGGTAAGTCCATGTGTCCTGTCTTCTGTGCATTGCTTCACAGTCGTCGACCGTTGCCGCCTCATCTCCTTTAGTTTCCAACGTAGCCCTTGACAATGGTGGTTCGCCCTCGTCCTCGTGCAAGGCAACGGTCGGTTCATCATCCAGTCTCATCAACAGCAAACAGGTACGGTCCGCTAGCGAACGGCATGCATGCATGACATTAGTAGTTCTTTGCTCCTTGCGAGTCAACATAAACGTCGTTGGAAGTGGAGGGGGTGGAAACTTTTTGAAGCCTATCCCTCTTGACTTCGCTGAACCAAAGTGTCATGCATGCATGCAAACGTCTTGCTTTGACTTTTGCTCTCGATTGAAGTCTAACCGTTTGTCGTTTCCTTGTCTCTTAGGTCTCTCAATATTGGCCGTTCGTTGACTGTCCACATCCTCCATCAAACTCCAAGCGACAGCCTCGTCCACCCGCCATCTTCCTCCAGTGCTCCTCATTCCTCCAGAGGACCGAGCCGTTGCCAAAAAGCTTCCTTTCTCCAACTTCCCACCGTTGCCAGCACGCACGCGTCTTCCACCACGGCGCCGCCTCCTCCAAGTGGCAACCCAAGACCTCTTCATCTGCCTCTTCCTTCTTTCATGAGCATCAGTCTCCTACGCATGCTCGTCCTACACTTCCCGAAACTCAAATCCTCCTGGGAACGCCAAGCAAGCTCCTCCTTACTCCATGAAGGACCCAGCCTACCATACGCCAACAATCCTTCCTCCAACTCGGCCGTCAGATGTTCCTGTGGTCGTCACGTTGGTGGTTCCTGTCTTCGGTGCCCTTCAGAGCTTCCTTTTCGGAGTCGGATCCGTCTCCAGAGCTTCATCTGATTCCTTTGCTCTGATCTTCATCATGGCGCCGAGTCATGGTTCACTCAATAGATAGCTTAAGTCTCACACACATCTCCATCTCTCTCTCTCTCTCTCTCTCTCTCTCTTTGGCCCGGTCTCCGAAGCCATTCCTCCCACTTCAAACCCTCCGAAGCCCCTCCCCGAATAATCCGACCAGCCCCAACCAACACTCCTACATCATCCCACAAATCCACCGCCTAACCAACTCTCCCACAAATCCTCCCACCAACCACCAATGCTCCCACCTAACTCCCCTATGCCGACCCTTTTGTTCCTTGGGCTGGTTCGTCACCAGAATGCATCGCCGGATGTTCTCTCGACGATTGGCCTTTTACTTTTCACAATCCCAAACTCTTGATTTTCACAATCTACCCCGACCTTTGAAGCACCACCGATGCCGACTGACCATGGTTTTCGAATTCTGGATCAATCCACGGCCGGAGGCAATGTCACCCCCCTCAATCTTGTCGTCTAATTACTCCTTGGGTAGACTAAATGTGTAGCTAGTTTACACTTACTTCACCTGCGAGGAATAGCCAAACCGAGCCAAATAGTGCCAGGCTTTCTTGATTGCCTGTGCATCATGCCCTCCCTGGTGGTTGGATTTGCCCAAAAGAGCTGGTTGGATCACGCCGTTGTGAGCAATTTGCACACCCAAGGCTACGATTTGCGGTCCTCGATAGTCAGGATAGTGTCGCAAACGATTGACAGTCAATCGAAAACCCCCGTGCCATTTCACGGGGACGCCCAGTTGCGCAGCCTGCTCTTCGACCTCGGTATCGCGATAACAAGGATCCAAAACAACACACTCCACGTCGTCTTGAACACGAACAACGCCGTGGATATGAGCTTCAATGTAATCATCGAGTAAATCAACTTCGTCCGCTTCTGCTTTGGCAATCAAATGCCGCATGCTTTCCGACACGCCAAAGTCTTTGGGCTCGAAAAAGCTGTCCGGATAACAAAACGTGGCTCGCTGCATGCTGTGCACACCGTTCCATCCCTCGAGATGACACTGCCCAACTCCAAAATGACAGATTTTTGCGTTAAACCAGGGGTTGCTCTCGACTCATCAGAGTCGTTCTGAGATAGTGTTCGCTTGGAACCGAAAGAGCATGGTTCGAAGGCAACGTGTCCAGCTCATCTGAATGCCACGTTTTCCGCGAGGGCATGACAATCGTTGTCTCGCAACTCATGAAAACACGCTGGCTTTCTCCAGGGCCCCAATCAACGCGAGCAATTGTCCGATCCAAGTCTAGTAGACGAGAAAGACAGCATAATAACCAGGTCAATTGGAGTCTCTTGGCTGTCCACAACTTTCCCTTATTTCGATCGAAGAGCTGATGCGGGCGGAGATGTCTTGCTCTTGCGCTGTTTCAGCCGTGATTTCGACCAATCCCTGTTGGGTGTTGCTTTTCCGTGCCTGTTGGCGGGTGTCGCCGATTTGTGGTCGTGGAGAGCACCACTGGGCCGTTGCTTGTTGAGTGGCAACGTGCCCCTGCTACTGTTGTGAATGGGCTTCATTGCGTCTTTTCCATCGTTGCGTTTGACCTTTTCGATGGGGGCACTGAATGACTGTCGATTGTCTGATTCCTTATGATTCTTGTGGTTGGTGTTGCTAGTTGTGGGCTTCTTACCCTTGGCATCATTGCTTCGTGTGTTGCCTTTGGCTGACGGCGCCACCTTTTGCACGCCCATTGGCTGTTTGAATTGTTTTTTGGACCCATCCTTCTTCGTTGTCAGCTCTTTTTGCTCGGTGAGAGTACTGTCCGGCCGTCGTCTGAGTGGCAACTTGTCTTGCTTATTGTTGTTGCGAATGGGCATTTTGGCGCCTGTTCCATCCTTGCGCTTGGCCTTTTTCTTCTTCAAGGGGGCAATAGTGGACGACAGCAGAAGATTGGCTGATTCCGTTGCCTTTTTCTTTTCGGCAGCTTTTTGTTGCTTGTCGTCATCACTCTTGGACCCATCATCCTTGCCCTTGGCCAATGCCTTTTCAACGCCCTTGTCGATGGTTTCCGCAAAACGAATGAGATTTCGTTTGAGTTTCCGTGCCTTCTTGAGCAACTTGCTCTTGTTCTTCTTTGCTTCATCCTTGGCAGCTTGTGCCTCTTTGGCTTTGGCTTCATCCTTGGTATCCATGTCGTAGAATGGTTCAATCGTCTGGGTTGGTCGACGACGACGTTTGGAGAGTCCGCTATGGTTGCTGCTGTTGGTTTTGTCATTATCGTCCTCTGGATGTGCCTTCTTGGTCGTTTTGAGTTTGGTGGTATCAAAATTGGATTGCAATTCTTGTTCTCCCCCCGATGCCTTGAGAATGTAGGGCAATTCTCCTACAGTGCCAGAGTAGCAGCAATCGACAAGGAATGTGGTGTAGACATGCCGTGGCATTGCCTTGATGAGTTCATTCAGTATGGTATCATCCTCAATGTACCCATTCTTCTTGTAATCGGATGGCATAATGTATAGATTGTTGGAATCTCGATTGCCATGCCCCGAGAATTGGATAAAGTTGACATCATAGGGCTCGGATTGTTGGATCATGTGTTTCCATCCATTGAGAATGTTCTTCTTGGTGGGTCGTTGGTTGGGTGGTACCTTCTGGGTATCTAGCAACAGAGTGATGTTTTGGGGTAAGAATCCACAGTGGTTGATGAGAAAGCGTTGAATGTTCTTGATATCATTGATGGGACCCTTCAAATCTGTGCCTTCTCCTGTGACAACTCCAATGAGTAGTGCCCTTCGTGTCCCATGAATGTACTTGGGTGGAACGACATAGTATGGTGCATAGACTCCTGCTGGTAGACGTGGTGGTCCTAGGGGTCGTGACGAGGAAATAGTGGGATTGGCATTTTGATGAGAGCACTTTTTGATGCGGTGCTGCAGTTCATGAAGGATTTGTTCTGTAGTAAAGTAGTTTTGATTATCATTCTGTTTTGCTTTTGCTTTTGCTACCCACGCCTTTGGATGTTCGTACATGAGCTGCAGCAGAGCACAAGTAGCCACAGATCCTGCTTGTTCCTGATAGAGCCATCTCGTTTTGCCCTTGGGTGGTCTGATTTGGAAATGTTCCATGGCATTGTAGTCTTCTTGTGCCTTGCTGGTGCCATCTTGACTGGCAATCAGGACAAACTCGGAAGGAACACAGCGTTTCACCTTTTTCTCAAATTCGTCATTGTCTTGGTACTTGATGACATCAGATTCTGCCAATGGCATTCCCATGTACGGAGGAACTGCCTTTGGCTTGGGATGCAAGGGCACTGATTTGCTACTGGTACCGGTAGTACCGTTGTCCTGGCTCTGACGCTTCTTGCCATCTCGGCCCTTGGGCTTCTGGGAACGTGAACGTGACCGCTTCTTCTCAACCATGGCTACTAGCTAGTATGGATATGCTTTCCACTGAACTTCAAGCTAGATTATAAGGAAGGACTCGACTCATGACATCCAGACCTATAGCTATTCCAACGGCTAGCCCAATGCTACCCCGGCACCTTGATAGTTGGTGCATACCGGTAACAGAAGTGTCAAGGTTTCAAAAGTTCTGCGCGGACCTGATACATGCAGACTGGTACACCGGCACCACGTCATTTTCTTGGATCTTTGTCGTACCGGTATCAGCCCGCAAGGCTGTGTGAACGGTTCAACCGTCAAAAGATCTAGCACAGAAGAGAGTTACAGTCGAGTCTCTATGCTAGCTACCTGAGCACCACCACAACCACAGCAGCCACTGCTATACTAGCTAGTACCATATATTGCCGCACCATGGGAAATGCATTAAGCTGGGGTGGTGTCATCTGAGTCTGCCGCCAATAGTCGTGGCAATGCAAATACTGCCGAGTCTCCCCTTCTGTCGCTTGAACATATGATTTGGAGTGGCCAAATTCTGTCGTTTGTTGGTGTTGGAGAGTATGCTTTTGTCGGTGCTGTCAACAAAAAGATGAATCAACGCTACAAAAAGTACTGTGAAATGGAACTCAAGAAGAATCCAAGAAAGATACTCCCCTCCCCTATAGAAATTACTGATACTCTTCTCAGTTCAACATTCTGCAACCGGCCCCGTGCAGAACTCTGGCTCAAGGACAATTCTGCCTTTAAGGAACCTCATCATGAGTTTGTTTGTCATGCAATTGCCCCAGTTGGAAGTATCACGGTCATGAAATGGGCACGCCAAAATGGATTCCCATGGAATGAAATGACATCTGCCTATGCGGCTGAAAATGGACATTTGAGAATGGTTGTCCATGGGATCATTCGACATGCTCAGGTGCGGCTAAAGGTGGACAATTGGAAGTTCTAAAGTGGGCTCGTGAAAATGGTTGTCCATGGGATGCAACTACATGTGAACATGCTGCTCAATATGGACATTTGGAAGTATTAAAGTGGGCTCGTGACAATGGTTGTCCATGGGATGAACATGCATGCATGAAGGCTGCTATGATGGGTCAATTGGAAACTTTGATGTGGCTGCATGCAAATGGTTGTCCATGGGATGACTATACATGCTATATCGCTGCTGAACAAGGACATTTGGAAATCTTAGAGTGGGCTCGTGAAAATGGTTATACATGGGATGAACAGGCATTCTATATTGCTGCTAAACGTGGACATTGGTATGTTTTGAAGTGGTTGCACGCAAATGGTTGTCCATAGGATGAAGCAACATTTCAAGCTGTCAGAGACTCCCAGTACATGAGCGGTAGCAAAAAAAACGAAGTGATCCAGTGGCTACGCGACAATGGCTGCGCTGGTTCTCATGATGAAGTAAACTAATAAGGTCACGAATTGAATGCATGATTCCAGTATTCCATCAAAGTAGAACAATGCCCATGCTTTCCCTCCCAGCAGCCCATCAATGACGATCGCCGATTGCATGTTCAATTCCGTTGTACATTTGCTCTTTTAAGGTTTCGTTTCCATTTGACTGGGAGACCCCTTTCTTGAATAACGAGGCGCCACGACAGCCATTGCTGGAAGTTGCTTCATGCCCGAGCGTACCGTACGGTATGGAAGCAAGAGCGAATCCACTCTGCAATATCACACTCGATTCAATTCAAAAGTAGCCCAAACATGTCTTCCGTACTGTATTCCTACATGTATATCGCGGACCACGAGCTGCCCGCCCCTTCCTTCCCAGCAAGAATGCATCTTTAAAATTATATAGCATCCACGATCCTAGGTTCGTCTGGTGAATTGGCGTCTTTGGACCTGTCGTCGGATTCGTCGTCGCTCTCTTTTGGAGTGCTTGCGATTGTGGCACGTTCTCTGGAGCGTTGCTCAATCGTGCCTGTGGTTGTGTTTAGGGCAGAGTTTCAAAACTCTGCCCTAATTATTAGGGCAGAGTTTCAAACTCTGCCCTAAATTTCAAACTCTGCCCTAATTTAGGGCAGAGTTTCAAACTCTACCCAAAATTAGGGCATGGTTTCAAAACTCTACCCTAAATTAGGGCAGAGTTTGAAACTCTGCCCTAAATTAGGGCAGAGTTTCATAGTATTTACTATGCAGTCCCGTTTCGATTTAGGGCAGAGTTTCAAACTCTGCCCTAAATTTCAAACTCTGCCCTAATTTAGGGCAGAGCCCTAAATTAGGGCATGGTTTCAAAACTCTACCCTATAATTAGGGCAGAGTTTCAAACTCTGCCCTACAGCGAATCCTACCCTAAATCCTGGGTTCCCCACTCGCACCCACTGAGGCACGCTCCTGGTTTCTTGCGGACCAGCACGGATCTCGGGAGGTTCGCTTTCATTCTGGTCGGACGGAGTCAACGGGCATACGTTTTCCACGTTGTGCTCGACTGTGCTTGGTTCGTCGGATGGATTGGCTTGATCGAGCTCGACTGGCAGATTGGCGCCATTATTGGTGGCATTGCTGATGCCTTGGTCAACTTTTTTTTATGCACTTCTGCCGGCGAGTACAATACATTGGACAAGATGGATCCGAGAAAGGGCCAGAAGAAGCTGTTTAGGTAAATGGCAAAGTAGAGCATGGCCTGAACACAGACTTGTCGTAGGACGGGGTCATGTGGCGTCGGTTGATTGTTTCCTCCAAACTGGCAAGTCGCACTCTTCTTGCGTGTCTTGCGGACATGATACCAGAAGATGAGACCGTGTACAGGGCGCTTGCCCCTCTTCATCTCCACAATTCCAAGGGTAGGAGGAAATGACGCATAGGTTATTGATGAGCTCCGTGGGGTTGATGGCTTGAGTTACAACGGGAATGAAATTGATGGAAAAGGAGAAGGCAAAGACGACCAGTTGAGCAGCCATCTCCCACTTGAATCGTCTGCTGAAGTCTGCTTCTTTCTAACTCTTGACTATACCATCAAGTAAAAATACAAACTGCTGAAACCACTCTCAAAACATCCCATTTGGACCCCGATCATTAAGAAAAAGCCTGAAGCGGTACAAGTCGCATGGGTCCCCACGGCTCCCGGTAAACCCAAGGAGGCGGGACTTGCAAATGGCATGTACAAGTTGGCAATGGAAGAAGTCATGTCAAACAGACTCAGGGCAAACAACAAACGGTAAAGAATCTTGGAACGCTGCCGGAACGACATGAACAAAATGCAAACAGACCCCACAAAGGAAAGAAAGCTAGAGGTGGTACCCAACACAACCAGAGGAATGTATTGTGCTGGGCTCAGTATTTCATAGTCTGGTGTCTCCATTGTCTTTGTCTTAAGTTGTGGCAGTGGAGCCAAAAGCCAAAATAATGAACTTGAGAGGTGAGGCAGAGATGAGTCGCCACAAAAATGTAAAGTGCTATCGAGGAGGGTATCGACTATCGACCGCCACCGCAAGAACAAGAAACTGGCTTCCGTAGATAAGTTCCCTACTCTCAAACCCCCGTTACTCTTCAGAAAACTGGACAAGTTGGCATGCATCTCTCTATGACAGAGAGTCTTTTACTCCTTAGTGCTATGCCTATGTTAATTACTAGAGGTCAGGACTTCAACCTTTCCGATGGCAACAATGTCTGCGATTTTTTTGCATCCTTCATCTACTACTACTTGGCATCAGTTGTCTCGGGGTGGACTAACATGTTCCTTGATAGGCCCACTCCGTCGTCACAGCTTGAGGGATGGCAATGGGTAGACTCAGAATCACATATACAACAAATGCAATCACTGAGAAGGGATGGAGAATCAAGTTTCGAATGTACGAATTTTCTAACACAGAGGCCGCCCAACAGAAATCACCAGCTTGGTTGTCACCACCATGAATCAGATTTCTGTACAAGTACAGCCATGTATAGGGACTCATGAGTGCAAACAACCACAAGACTGCATACTCATAGATGGACGGAATCAAAAGAATCCACCAGACTGGGAGAGTCAGCCATGCCCAAGCTCTCTGGGACCTTGTAGGAGGCATCACTCCAGGCAATGATAGCATTGGTACATCAACAAGGGTTGTAATGGCAAGGCACAGCAACCAAATGTGAAGGTCTGTGTCAAGGAGGGCTGCCTTGGGCCTTTTTGCAAATCTGTTTCTTGCATCATGGCTCAAAGCTTTGTCATTGTCATTCATGTAGAAACGTTTGACATTGTACGGGCTGGACAGAAGCCGCAAGAACAACTTGGGTTCTTTTACTAGCAGCATCCGGTAATCAATCCCTTGTCCAATCAATGAGGCCATGTCAGCAGAGTAGTGAATAAAGTGGGTAAGTGCTGGGATGTCTTTTGAGGAAATGTAAAAGGTTTCTTCTCTGGCTGCGTCTGTGGCAATGGTCTGGGCCAGCTGTTTCTCTTCTGGCAGGGCAATTTTCCCAGTAACAAGTTGGGCATACACACGTGCCTGCATTTCGGATAGTTGTGGAATAGAACCAAAAGCAGGCCTGACAAATCCTCCAAAAACAAGTCTGTCTCCGTATTCACTGTCCAACATGTGCTTCCAGAGCTTCCTAGGATTGAAGTCCTTGATGGCTTGTGGTGACTCCTCTTCCAGAAAAGGAAATGTGGTCTTGAAGCCAGTGCAAAGCACAACAAGATCAATCTCAAGCTCAGTTCCATCAGCAAAGACTATAGATTTGGATTTGACTTGTTGGATCCCAGGAACCAAGAATGCTCCATTTGCCACAGCCTGTGGAAGCCCCCCTGTCTTGGTCCCGTACTGACTGGTGCTGTGTAGACCACAGAGAAGGTTTGTTCCAAAGGTAAATATACCTTGTTTTGAAGGTGTCAAGTCACCTGGCATTAAGGGGGCAACCGCAGCTGCAGCACGGGCAGCATTGAATGCTGGAAGCAATTGCGACCTTGGCGCACCAACTCTTCCCATGTTTGAGCTATGATCGAATGGACCTTCTCCGGGTCCAATGGGAAAGTTCTTCTGCCACCAGTTGCCATTCCCTGATTGTACTTTTCTAGTTTCAGCGGAATAAGCTTCCCCATAAGCACGTGGAACAAAATGGCCTGGTGCTCCTCGTACACTCACGGCAACAGACTTGGAGTTGCCTGTGGTGGCTGCCATAGCAATATCAGATCCAGACTCACCAGATCCAACTACCAAGACATGCTTGCCCTGAAAGATGTTGGAGGTCTGGTATTCAGAAGAATGAATCACAGTCCCTTTAAAGTTGTTGAAGGCGGGCAAGCCATTGCTACCTGGCAGTTTGACACAACTGGGCAGGCCAGTGGTACTTGGGGAAACTGGGGCATGGGCCCCGGATGCCACAACAAGGTAGTCAGAGGTCACACTACCAGTGGCTCCTTCAGGGCCAATGCCTTTGTACTGAATGGTCCAAATCTTTTTGCCTTTGTCATAGTTGCACTTGGTGGCAACAGTCTCAAAAGACATGTACTGAGATAGATCAAACTTGCTGACAAATTCATCGCAGTAGTCAGCATACTCTTCTGTGTACATGTGCATTGGATCCACGTTGTGCATTTTGGAGAACGTGATGAATTGATTGGAAATAGTGAGCATGGAATCCTCGTAGCACCCACGGAAGAGGCCACCAGAAGTCTTCTTGGCTTCAATGACACGGACATCAGTAACACCTGCATCCACAAGTTCCTGCAGGTAGATAATGCCAGTGGGTCCACCCCCGATAATGCAAACTTGGACTTTTTCTTCAATAATGGGAGACATCGAGACGAAATTTGTAGACTCGGAAAGTGTGGTTAGCTGGATGAACTGTTTGGTTGTTCAAATTGCAGATTTCAATTTTGTGGGTTAATTGCCTGGCTCCAGTCGATGCCAATGTCCGGCTTCTATGCCGTCCTTGGGAGACGGTGCGAAGCTTTGGTTTGCCCATCCTGCTTCGAAACCGACTCTTGGCCAAAGCAAGGCTGCATGCAACCTGCGCGCTGTGTACGGTACAGTACCAGGTACTGGGAATGGTGATCGCGTTCCGAACCTGGATGCAAAAGACATATTATCGTTTTGCAGAAAGATTTAATCAAATTGAACCTGTGACGAAAACAGGACCGAAGCATCTTCTCCAGTCCAACAACAGAGCGCAAGGACCGGACACACTTCCAAGTTCAACATACACAGTGGCACATGGTAAGGAGAGAGCGACAGAGCGAAGTCGAGTGCTCAGCAAGCAACTGGAAAGAGCAATTTCTGACGATGAAACAGACTGAAATCCGAATTTTCATTGGGGTGAATGGCTAGTGGCTGCGCGGATCCAGCAATCTCGTATTTGTCGGCTTTGTGGGGCTGCTGGATGACAGCTGCTGTGAGGTTAGTACATGTAGCTAGCCTAGATTGGGCAGATTCGATTCGATTCATCAGTTAGTTTGTCGCATGTTGTTTATGAAAGGATGCGGAAATGTCAGCTTGCTTCCAAGTACTTCTAGCTAGTAGAAAAGCAATTTTATTAAGGTAGTGGGGCTGCATTTTCATGTCCAGCTTGCTGGCTACTATTCTCGCTTGCCCAAGCGGCATGAATGGCCGGTGGTGGTAGTTCGGCTTTGCGGTATTGCTTTTAACAGAGGTCAGTGGATCTACATACAGTACCAATGTTTGGCAGTCATCACAAAGCTGGCATGCATCACATCATAATAGTAAGCAGCAAACTGCAGAACGCCAAGATTCGATTCGCTCGCGGATGGGAAGTCTGAGTAACATAGTACCGGTACGTGCCATCTTGCTTCTTTGTGGGGGTGGTTTATTTGGCTGCGTCTGCCATTTGAACAGCTTGCTTGTTGGCAGCCTCCATCCACCCAGCCATGTTTTCGTGTGCCGCAAACTCTTTGTAGTAGGCAGACGAGGCAGACCCTACCGTATACCGGTACGGTACCCAAGTTGCTTCCCACATCTACTATTCTATTAGCTGTTTATATACTCTTTGGAATAATTAATAGCTATCCAGCTAGTTTTGTCTTTTGTCTGTGATGGAATTGATGAGCCTTGCTGCCCGTGGCCCTGCCCCGTACTATTAATATGTGTGACTTTTGCCGAATGATGAATCCAAATGCCTCGTGGCAGTGTGAGTGGGGAGAACCGATGACGAGCGATCTAACTGAATCATGACTCATTCCCCTTCCACCTGTTGTAGCTCTGTATCATGAACGTATTGAGTGAAGTACATTGCTGTCAAGCTAGCTAGCTACCGGTAGCAAGCACAGTCCCCTTGTGGCGGCTGCTTCTATTTGTTGGCAACCCCGAGCCATGTCGATGGCAACAGCGGTACATGTGGTACATGTGACCAAGCAGGTTGGTTGTGGGACAGGAGTTGAAGTGTGATTGCTAATCTCGCGAAATTCTACGACTACAAACGCATAAGCCAGTAACAACGAGAGGCGAAAGACTTTGGTAGGGACAGTGTATACCGCGGTAGTGCCAGTCACCTTCCGAGGCCGGCGACTGTGGTGCGGAATGAAGAATGCTACAGTGTACATGTACTTAGCTGACTGTCCATGAAGCCTTTATCCTGAAAACTCAAGTACTTTGACCGTTGCAATGGTCCCCAGTGTGTCGAACCTGATCCCACTGACCCTCGTCTTCTTTTCTCCTAAGCTTCTTGGCGGGGGCCCTTGCATGAATGAGCGATTGCGAGCTTTTGGTACACAAACAAATAGTGAATAATCCACTGCTCCAGGCCCCTTTCTCTCATGCACACGCTACATCAATGGCCCAATCATCCAGTTCTTCACAGTAGGCTACCAGGGAGCTTTGGATGTTGCTTGACCCTTCTGGCAATACATGTAGGAGTGCAGAGATTGGCAGAAGTGTACGAGTGCAGTAGTCCCGCATTTTAGTGTCCGCGTAGCAAACTGGTGCGAGAATGGCTCGTAAAAGCGATGTTGCTCACTTCCTTCAATAGTCATAAGTGACACGGAGTGTTAAAAGATGGTTTCCCATGTTACTTATGGTAGGTGTTGGAACTAGTGAAAGAAGGCATAATGAGAGACACAAGTCATTATGTATTTAATGAAATGCCTGGCATGAAGACGGCAAGACTGGCTTTTGTGGGTGGGTGTACGAGCGAGAGAAGGGAAGAAGATGGAGGGAAGCCGTTGCTGGAGCGGAAACAAACAGGCATGCATGAGAAGCCAACCCACATTACATTCCGCCAGAGAACATTGGTAACTGTACAGCAGCCACTTGATCAGATCCGTTTGTTGAGATACATCCTATAACAACAGCACCAACAACAGAGGAGATCGGATAGCTATTAGAAGACTAGAAGATAGAAGAAAGGAAGATCCGATAGAAGATGAAGACTACGAGAAGACTTAGCATGAACCTGAAGAGCACGATGAGTATGAGTGTGTTGAACCTCCTGATCTTGAGCACTACTCTCCTTCAACTGCAAGTGTTGCCTTGTGTGGCCATGAATAGCAATAGCAATAGCAATAGCAATAGCAACTGTGGATTGCTGGAAAGGACAGTCTTTGTGGAACATGGTCCTTCTGATAGTGATACTGATAGTGATGGAGTTGGCCTTTCCAGATCCAATGTCAGAAAGGGGGCTTCTTCTACTACCAGTACTACTTCTACCAGTGGATCTACTAGTGGACTTAACCTGGGTCAGGAAGTGACAAAGAAGGAAGAGAAAGCTCTCAGAGAAGCTTGGCAACAAACTTACCAACAGTTCAGCAGTCTTGATACCAGTACTAGTCAGCTTGACAGTAAACATAGTGAGAATGAATGCCCCAGAACCATCCAGCAACTGGAATTGGTCAAGCACAAGCAGCTTAAGAATGACAAGAAACCTAAAGACAACAATCACCATATGCATATGAGTCATCACCATATGAGTCATCAGCACCAACCACTGCCGCCGTGGTTCCACTATGAACAAATGATGGCTTGGAATGTGGCAGTTCAGACTCCTACTACCAGTAGTCCTGATTCTTCTTTACTATTCCAAGGAGAGACTGATGCAGCAGACTTTTCTTCCGCCTATTCTGGACGCCTCCAACAGAGAAAACTCCGCCATTTGGAACAAGTCGAGCAACTCCTAGAAGTCAATGCTTTTGACTGCTCTTCTTCTTCTTCATCATCCAATTACAACACATTCCAGGCTTCTGTCCTGCTAGAACTGCAGGTGGAAGACTTCCCCACCACCAGTGCCACTACTGCTACTGCCAGACAAGGAAACGTTCCAGCACAATCCCCGTCGGCGCAGTTGTACGAAGAAATACAAATATGGAAGCAGGCCTTTCAGACTACCTACAACACACTACTCTTTTATACCTGTGATGCACCCACCTTTACAACCATCATTGAAGTGCAGGTGGAAGAATGGCCCATTCCAGACTCTTATCCTCAATTCGATACCACCACTACTACCAACACAACGACACAAACAACCACCAAGAAACTACTCGAATTCCAGCTTACGGTCGAGTGTCGTGGAGACGGCTGTGATGAACACATGGCCTTGTTTGGGACACTCGAAACCGGAATTACCCTCGCTACGGTCAATACCACGGCCGCTCCGTCCATTCTGCCATCGGGATGGCGGCCGCCCAAGTGGCAAGATCTGCAAGGACCCGCGCTTCGTCAAGCGGATGATGTTTGCTATTGTGCCGCCACACCGAATGCCCTCGTCGGATTGCCCACGATCGAACAATTCCAACTGGCACTCGAAACCACGTTGACGCAACTCCACACGGAAGGACTCTTGCAAGAATACGCCGACGCCATTGACACACTCAATCAAATGTCCACCCAAGAAGAAGACGACAACGAAGAAGCGTGCCAAGAAGACAATGTCTCGTCCATTGAAACACAGGTCTTGCTCCAACTCAGTCAGCCCTTGTTCGCCATGGAACACGACGCCAATGCCACTTCTACCACGACCGTACAAGATGTTCTCAATCACTTTGTCGTTTCGTACAATCAATTGAGTTTGCGATTGTGCGATCAGCCATTTGCGCGCCGAATTGTCAACGTATCGCTAGCCGAAGACTATCAAGTCGGAGTCGATCAGCAGTTGATTGTTCGTATTCAAGCCGAATGTCATGGATGTACGGATGACGATATCCAAAATCAAGCGTGGCTGTTCAACGAGACTGACACTGCATTTGCTATTTCTAGTATCAACGAGACTCTTATTGCATCGTATCAATTGGAACTCTTACCGCTCGTCCCTGTCTTGACGTGTGCGTGTCCAGTGGATACTGCTACTACTACGCCAGAGACTAGTGGTCGAGCACCCACCGTCCCAGAAGTCATGCTCACACTCAATGCACGCTTGGAACAAAATGAACCACAAGAACAAGAACCGATCATGGTCACGGCCCTGCAACAAGTCGAAGATTACGAATGTCATGCCCCCCAAGATACCCTCGTCTCCTACACCAATGTACTCGTCAATTTTACAGGAGGAAATCCACAACTATTGACCAACCGAGAACTCACGTTGCTCGAAAAGACGTTTGAAAAGACATATAATGATTTGACGTTTCAACAATGCGATGGCAAGTTTCGGCAAATTACTCAAGTGCAGTTGCTCATCTTGCCTCGACGTCTCTATCATCATAATGGTACCAACAGCAGTACTATTGCTGCGAACAGCAACAGCACCAACAGTACTACTGGTTACTATTATGATAACAGTACCGACGCTGGTAATTACACGAGCTACGGCGACAAGAGAATGCTGTTGGAAGACGATTTTGGTAGACCCGCGACGACGTACAATCGGTCCCGGACAATTTCCAACACCACGACATTGGAAGATCCGTTGGAAGTGGAAACCACATCGGTCTTTCGAGTCGGTGTCGAATGTCGAAGATGTCCTGCCACGGAAGATACCGATACCTTTGGATTGTTTGATTCCTTTGAACGAAGACGTGAATTGCAGCAGCTGGCCAAGAATACTATTGGATTCTCTTCCAGTTTTCTGGCGTATGCCGACCAAAGTGCCCTCATCAAGCCACAACACGAAATGTCGGCGTGCTATTGTCCGGCAGGTCAGGTTCCCGACGATGACATTGGCACCACCGAAGACGAATTCTTGGAGATTTTCCAAGGCAAAGTCGAGCAGTTGGCCAATGAAAGTGCGCTGGAGAATGTCGAGTCTGTGGATCGGGTCGAAGAGCTGCAAGACTATTGTATCAATGACTTTGAAGAAGCCGAGGCCAATGTGATCATTGACCTTGTCCAGTACGATGACTACCGCAACATTACGCTCTACACCGACGAAGAAGTTCGAGACGCGTTTCGTACGGCTGCCAATTCCTTCCGAGAAGACGACTGTGCTCCCTTGGTGAGGCAGACGAAGAAGATATTGCTCATGCCGTTGGATGCGTCCAACGCAAGGGACGGCGACTCGGGTACTGATCCTGCTGTTCGAGCCGATATGGACGTGGACGTCATGGAAAAAGGGGGTGCTTCCTTTGAAGAATACTTGTCGGACAAAACCGATAATGTGGTAGATGGCATGTGGACTGTTCTGAGGAATGGCGTGATGACTCGGCAAGCAGCTCTGGAGGCGGCAAAGACAATGCCATCATCTGCTCCATCGATGGTACCCTCGTCGGCCCCTACCGACTCACCAACGCCAAAGCCGACAGACATCCCTTCGTCTGCTCCATCGGATGTTCCCTCGTCCAATCCAAGCACTGGTCCGTCTGGAGCCCCATCGTCCTTGCCAAGCTCCCGCCCATCGAGTTCTCCCTCGATCCAACCATCGAGCGGTCCTTCGTCGTCGCCTTCAGCCACCCCTTCAAGCGGCGCACCATCAAGTACGCCATCGAACAATCCCACACCAACCGAACCCACATTAGAGCCATCAAGCTCTCCTTCTACCACCAGTCCAACTCCAGCCCCCACTTCTGATCCGACCTCTTCGCCGACTCCAGAACCCACTTCTGATCCGACCTCTTCGCCAACTCCAGAACCCACTTCTGATCCAACAGCATCTCCGACGGACGAACCAACCCCGCAGCCAACCCCCGAACCAACTGGGGAACCGTCTGAAGCACCCAGCATTGCTCCCAGCATTGCGCCCAGCAATAGCCCATCATTGTCATCAAAATCGCCTTCAGCCGAGCCCAGTGTTGCACATTCAGACAGTCCCACCGGTTCACCAACAGCCTCGCCCACGTGGAGTTCCGGCCATCCCACGTCCACGCCATCAGCGGAACCGTCGTTGACTCCCTCCTCGTCACCTTCTTTGGGACCCTCTTCATCGCCATCAGGGGAACCAAGCTCGAGTCCCTCCTCGTCACCTACCATTAGCCCAACCACTTTGGCGGACTTCTGTGGCTTTACCACGATCACCACCTCTTTCTTCATGGGGTTTGACAGTACTTACTCAATGGACGACGACACGCTCACTTCTAATTTCATTGCAGCGTACGAGGCTGTGCGACTCAGCAACTGCGCACCGCTGATTGTGTCGGCATCCGTTGCACAAAGAATAGAGGGAAGACGCTTAAACACTGCAGCTATTCAAATTGAACTGTCGCTTACACTAAATCAGGCAGATTCCGATCCGTTCCTGCAATCCGAGGGAGAGCTGGACGAGTTTGTGTCAAGCTTTTCGTCAACAAGTGGAACCTCGGCTGCAATGTATCTCAGAAGAACTGCCACTACTAATGCACCTTCCGAATCCCCGTCCGAGGTCCCCAGTACAAGCCCAAGCACGTCTCCGTCAGATATGCCCTCTTCAGGCCCGTCAGTGAGACCCTCTGCCAATCCAAGCAAAAGTACCAGTCCCAGCGTTGGCCCATCCGGAAGCCCCAGTACATCTCCATCGGATTCCCCCTCGGCGAATCCAGTGGGGCAACCTTCAGCAAGCCCAAGCACGAGTGACAGCCCAACCGCAGCCCCTACACCACCACCAACACACACTCCAACGGACCCCCCAACAGAACCACCAACGGAGGCGCCAGTTACATCAAGCCCCAATGCCAGTCCCTCTGTCAGTCCAAGCACAAGTGCCAGTCCTAGTGTTGCACCCAGTGGTGGCCCGAGCATGTCTCCATCAGATTTGCTGTCCGCAGGCCCCAGTGCGTCTTCAGATTCGCCATCTGCCGGCCCCAGTGCATTTCCCTCAAGTTTGCCATCTGCCAATCCATCTGCTAGTCCCTCTTCCAGTCCAAGAAATGCAAGCCCGAGCACATCTCCATCAACATCACCATCTGACATCCATCTCAAACCCCTCTGGAAGTCCAAGCAATGCAAGCCCGAGCACGTCTCCATCAACATCGCCATCTGACATTCCATCCTCAAATCCTTCTGGAAGTCCAAGCAATGCAAGCCCCAGCACGTCTCCCTCGAGTTCACCATCCGCCAGTCCATCTAGAAATCCATCTGCCAGCCCGAGCAAAGCAAGCCCCAGCATGTCCCCATCAACATCGCCATCTGACATTCCATCTGCAAGTCCCTCTGCCAGACCAAGCAAAGCAAGCCCAAGTGGATCGCCCTCAACTTCACCATCTGACGTTCCATCCTCAAACCCTTCGGCCAGCCCGAGCAAAGCAAGCCCAAGCGCATCTCCGTCAACTTCACCATCTGACGTTCCATCCTCAAACCCTTCAGCTAGTCCAAGCAAAGCAAGCCCAAGTGCATCTCCCTCGACATCACCATCTGCCAACCCATCTACAAACCCTTCAGCTAGTCCAAGCATAGCAAGCCCAAGTGCATCTCCCTCAACATCGCCATCTGACATTCCATCTACAAATCCCTCTGCCAGTCCAAGCACAAGCACCAGTCCTAGTGTTGCACCCAGTCACAACCCAAGCATGTCTCCATCAGATTCTCCATCCGCAGGTCCCAGTGCGTCTTCAGATTCGCCATCTGCCGGCCCCAGTGCGTCTCCCTCAAGATTGCCATCCGCCAATCCATCTGCTAGTCCCTCTTCCAGTCCAAGCAATGCAAGCCCGAGCGCATCTCCATCAACATCAACATCTGACATCCCATCGGTAAACCCCTCCGTTGGTCCGAGCACGTCTCCATCAACATCACCATCTGACATTCCATCCTCAAACCCCTCTGCCAGTCCAAGCAAAGCAAGCCCCAGCACGTCACCCTCGAGTTCCCCATCTGCCAACCCATCTACAAACCCTTCCACAATTCCCAGCACGGCTCCCTCGAGTTCCCCATCGACCATGCCATCCACAAATCCCTCTGCAAACCCCTCTCCAGAGCCTTTCCCACCAACACAGGTGGTAGGCTTTCGGTTGATCGATGCAGACAAAGTAGGTGCAGCTGCAGTGATTCGGGATATTGATACACCCTCAGATACGCTCAGTTTGGGCCTTCTACCACCAAACCTGAGCATCAGGGCAGATACCAACCCTCCGAATGTTGACGGCGTCGTGTTCGTTGTCGATGGCGCCGTATACAAGACAGAGTATTGTATTCCCTTTTCACTGGGATCCAACTTTGCCTGTGCTGGGGAGAATTCTGCATACAAGATAGTGCATTGGTTGCGGAATCCTGGCGTGGTAACTATCTCAGCAAGGCCGTTCTGGTTAGGCGAAGATAATGTTATGATTTTTGGGACCAATCTGCAAACGACTCTGACGATTGAAGCAGCACCATCATCTGCACCTTCGAGAGCTCCGTCGATAGCTCCGACAGATCCTCCCACGGAACCTCCAACAGACGCTCCCTCATCCTCACCTTCGAGAGCTCCTTCGATCGCTCCAACAGACCCTCCCACGGAACCTCCGACAGACGCTCCATCATCCTCACCTTCGAGAGCTCCGTCGATAGCCCCGACAGACCCTCCCACGAACCCCCCCACAACGTTATTGGAGGGGGTTGGTGGTGGCGCCGGTGGAGTCCCATGATGAGACTATAGTTGCCTATGGCGTGAGTTGCAACCACGTGTGCGCAAGAGGAAGGTCGTCCTTCTTTCTCTCTCAGCATTCATTCGTTCATTCATACATTCAGTATTTCCAAGTACAAGCAGGAGAAGGTACAACATACATACGATTATAGCATAGCAAAACAAATAAAAACACATTTACATGAATCAAATTGTCGTATTATCGATCCCAGATACGTTGGGACAGCCACAAAGCACACCGGAACACTCAAAGGTAACGGAGCAAGGCAGGTCCATCACCTCCATGCTGGTCAGCAACAAAATTTCAGAAGGGATGAAACAGCTAAAGGCGTTCTGTTGGCTGGAAAATGTGGTCATGCTGGAGAGCAACCCTAACTCACTTGGCAAGGGCACAGTGAAGCGATTATGATGCACATACATGCAGTTTTCCTGTGAGATTGTTGATCTGCAAAACCAGGCAGTCAGGTCCATTGTGAAGAGTTCCGATGGCACTGATCTTGTTCCAGGGCAATGCCAAAATGGACAGGTTTGTGAGAAGTGCAATCTCTGGTGGAACAAGCAGGAGCAAGCCCAGATAGATCCAAGCCTTGAAACATTAGGTGCTGATACTTTTTGTCTGAATTACAGGGCCCCCCAAGGTGAAACCGTGCACTGTCCTCATTGTACTGGAAAACCACAAGCAGTCATCAATTTCCTCATTCATCCATGTCCGCTGGATACCGGTACCTGGTATCATCTGGCCAGCTGGGCCCCTCAACGCATAATAGAAAGCGGCCAAAGCAAAGAGTTGTGTTTTCCTCCATTCTGGCAAGTTTGTGAGATTCTGGTGATGGGACAACCATTGCCAAGCTTGCCATTGAGGGGTACTGCTGGTGTCAATGTTTGCCAGGATAGAGTTTGGAAGCTGCATAATTAGCAAATCGAGAGAACCACTCGGGGCAGACGATGGCACTTCTGACGGTTCCGTGATGATGATTGACAGAGCAACAGTTGGTGCAACTGAATCCATCTTGTTGTAGCGTACTCCAATGACTAGACTATGCCAAGTGCCAAGTGCCAAGTACACCAGCGGCAACAAGCAACGAAAAGGTCAAGAACCCCCGAAATAGTTGCCTTTCCTTGGTTTGCTGTTTTTGACGTTCTGTGGTCCTCTGTAGATCCACAGGATCCGCTGAAGGCTCGTTTTGCTGCTCCTCTTGATCTTCAAAGACTGGGTTTGCCACAGCCAGTTGTTGGTCCTTTTGTATGACCTACTAGCTAGAACACGTACCGTATAGCGTGGGTTGTATTGTACGGTACAGTACAGTTGTACGGTACCGTACAACTGTACCGTACGGTTTGCATTGGTTGCTTCAAATAAATAAGGCAGTGGTACCACTATTATTGCCACAATGGCAAGACATATTCTATTCCGTTTTATGGGGGGTTTAGAGTACGGAAATAAACTACGGAAGCCAGCCGGGGCCAGGCGTACCAGTATCGGCGGAGCTTTGTGAAAGCAGAATGCTGTAGAATTGCTGGCAATGCTGTGCCAACGAGGCAACGAGGCAACGACCAGCAACTGCTATTGAACACCTTGTTTACTGCTCTGTTTTAGTCTGGCCTCCCTTGCAAGCTCTGATGAGAATATCAGTAGTGATATCCCTGAAGACGCAGTAACGAGTACTAGGTAGATGAATTCAATCGTTGGATCCATACTGTACTGTAATGGTTAGTAGATTGATGGACTGCGCAACCTCTTATTCATCGGTCGCTGGCTGGATAGCTTGTGCTATTAATACTCATCAGCAGTGAGGCAAGAAGAGACCGAACATCGAGTGGAGCTATGCATATGCAGAGCTAGTCTACGAGCTATGATACGGCTGATACGGACCTAGCTGTTGCTACTCTGGTGAAACTTACCAGACTGTTTTGGATGGTACGTACCAAAGTAGCAAAGCCTTTCTTAGCAGGATTCACTTGCTCCACTGGCTTAACGGCTTGGTGGCGTACCGTACGGGTGAACTCCTCTTTTAGGATCTTCAACATGGAATACAGCAGAACCGGTAGCAGAGGTAAATAGTAGTAAATACGACGTTGAATGTTTCATAAAAAAATAGTACAGTATTGTCATGTTTCATTTTACCGCATCTACCTAACGTTACCAGACCGTAAAGCAATCCTCATGCATGCTGTTGGATCGATATCATCGCCAACTAACGCCTTTTTCGTCAGTCATCCTTCTATTCTCAGATCGTTCTACCGTAACTACATGGTGACCTTCCCATTCCCAATTCTTCCAGATGATCAGACGACCTCTCAATTGTTCATGCATTCATCTATCTCCAGTGACAGTGACCCATCGATCTTAGCCGCCATTGCAAGACCAACCTTTCATCTATCTATTGATCGACCTGAGGTGCATGCCCAGAGCCCACAAAGTCCAGTGTTTCTTATTCCAGTTGACAACTCTCAAGAGTTCCTTCTTTCACAGATTTTCAAAGTCTTTTACCCTCATTTTTCAGTTTTGTTCTCGATTCAAGTGAGTGTGATCAAGATGGCAAGACGCAGCAGTGGCAAGAGTCTGAGCAGTTGTAAAGAAGAGGAGGAAGAAGGAGAAGAAGAAGCCAAGCCTCGTCTGAGCACGAACAGTATTTTGGAAGATTTGTTTGGTCGTCGTCCAAAGCCTTTGGTGGAATGTTCCGAAGATTCCGAAGACAACGACGAGAGTAGTTCGGAAGACGATCGTTTGGATTTGAGTTACGACGGCGCCGACGAGGGAGACAACAGTGCGTACTCTCGATTCTTGACGGACGATTCGTTGAATGACATTACACTGGAGAGTACGATTGACGGTGTCAAGATTCCCGCCAATCGCGCCATTTTGGCGTCCAAAAGTCGAATCTTTCAACGCCTCTTACTAGGCAGTTTTGCCATGACGGCCGATGGAACCTTCAAGAGTGTCTCTTTCGACTTTCGAGGAGAAGTACTCAGAGCCGTGGTCGAATTTGTACTCACCGATACCGCCAAGATTCTCGACATACGATCGATCAGGGCTGACAAACGACGACGATCCTCCGTCAAATCCATTCACTCGGCGCCACCCACGTCTCTTACGTCCACGCAATCCACATCCTCCACTTCCTCCTCCAATACAACCAATCGCATCAGCATGTTTGACTGGATGAAAAAACAACCACTCAATCATAGCAGCAATGCTTCCGCGGCCAGTAGCTCCCACAATAGCCACAAACACAAGACCAGCAAAAGTGTCTCCAGTCGACGCAGTGGCGGCAGTCGCAGTCAACCCATTTATAGCAGGGCACAGATTCAAACACTGGTTTCACTTACAAGGGCGGCACAATACTTTCAATTGCCGAATTTGGGATCGCAGGCACTCGATACAATCGCCCACTATTTGGAACGATCCCCACCATCCGTGTTCAGCGTACTCGAAAGTTGTCGACAAGAAGAACCGCACGGAAAAGTGCCAAAAGAATTGCAAGGCATTGCACAAGTCAGTCTCCGTAATTTTGTCGGGCCCATTGAACCGGATACGGTCGAATTCTTGACCCCGCCCGTCCTGGAAGAAATTTTACAAACGCCCAAACTGCGCATGGACGAATATCAACTCTTTAAAATACTCAAACGATGGGCATCGTCACCGGCTGAACTCGTGCCCACACAACCACAAGCATCTGCCGACTCTGTGGCGTCCAATGATGCCGTCATGGATAGTTCCGAAGGAGATGCACAAACGGTCAAATCCGGAAATCAACAAAAACACAAGGATGATAAAAAAGAGCAAAGAAAGGAAAAGGAAAAGGAAAAACAACAACACAATAATAATAAGGACGATCAATCGTCCACCACCGACACCAGTCGCACGGCTTCTGTCACCACGGAACTCTCGGACGACAACAACAATCATCATCATCATCAGGACAACAATTCCTCTTCCGCACCACTCCTGTCCACCAGTGTCCGTCGCAAAATGGTCACGGCACATTTTCTACAATTTGTTCGTCTCGAATGCATCGATCCACCCATATTGGCTACATCCGTAGCCTCCTCCGGGCTTGTCACCGAACAGCAATTACTGCGGGCATTTCAACGACAAGCCATGGCATCGCACAAATATCATGGGATTGCCTTTCAACGACCGCGATTCACCGGAGCATCTTGGAAGAAAAGTTTGTCGGAAGTATTCACATCGCGGCATTCCGATGAACTCAAAGAAGACGTCCTTCAATATCCACCCATTCAATCGGGCATTCATCGATGGACTGTCATTATTGAAGAATCGGGTGATTCGACTTGGTTGGGATTGACCATGTCCAATCTATGCGAAACATTTACCGATCAAGATGCCATGCAAGATCGAAATTGGGTTTATGGATGTGACGGAGGATGTTTCTTTGGGGGTCGACCCGTCGAGCAGCCATCGCCACAACAAGAGATTCCGGGATATGGGACGGGATCCCAAGTGACATTGACACTCAATTTGAAATCGAGAGACAAAGGCAATGGGACCTTGTACGTCGGGGAACAATCGCATGCTTTGATTCCACTCTTTACCAATCTACGACATCATTTGAACGATCACGAAGGAGAAGGATTTTTACCATCCGTCTCGATGCATACGCCCGGACGAGTACGACTCGTGGATATTCGGCATTTGCATAGTTAAACATGCATGCCCCCATGCAGGATTGCAAAGAGGAACGACGGGTCGATCGCTTGGTTGGTGCTGTATGCGACAGACAGTGTGCGGAATCTGGAGGATGCGTTGAAGGTGTTCGTTCGACGGAAGAAGGGGACAAACGACAAAACCATTTTTCCGTTCTTGATACAATTCTGTACGGCACGTTACATGATACGGTGGCATTTGCTTGGATCCAAGGGGGGCGCAAAGAATGGAGAAAGGGAAGAATGCAAGCACTGCCACGTAGGGACAAACTACACAATTACAAAAGGTGGCAAACCAGCTACGGTAGGTATATGCTACCTTTATGTTACATAGTACATGTACATTACAACCGTCTTTTGTAATACTAGACCGAACATTTGTGTCCCGTCGTCGTCACACCAAAGGCGTTCCCAGAAGCACACATCCAAACCACATACGTTTTGACTGCCAGTTTGTCCTTTTATGTCTCCGACATGCGCGAAGGAATTCCATCACAAATTTCGCAGGGAACAAAGACGATCCAATCGTCCGCTGCATGCGATCTTTGATCGACGCGACTTTTGCATTGGCAGAGTCCTGTACGTTCATTCCAAGTCCGTTGCTTCCTTCTTTCCAATCGAGAACACCAACGTCTAGTTAGGGTCTTGCAGGCAGGCATACCGTCTCCACCAGCTACAGACTTGCCTTTGTCGAAACAGTCTATACTGACTCGAGCAAACTGTTTTCCTTCGATCGTCGTACTGCTCGTACTACTACATTCGCAACTCGAACAAGGTAATTCCAGCGGGTGAAAAGTGTGGTTGAAAGGACATGGAGGTGGACGGTGTTGCCGCGCCATCGGGCGACACCAAGTTGGCCATGACCATGGCGACGGCCGGTACAATCCAGGATTGATGCCAGTAGACTTGTCGTCTCACGTGCTTTTGGATGGTTTGCGCCGACGGCAACAACGGCACGTAGGTAGATAGCACGGAGGAATAAGGTGCAGAAGGAGATGGAAGTGTTTCCTCAGGGGGTGGTACTAGTACTTCGTCCTGGTCTTGGCATGCTTGTTCCAGTTCTTCCTTGTGCATCTTGTAGTCTACCAAAGCCGCTTGAATGGCCTTTTCTCTCCTGGTCTCGTAGTCTATCAAGGAAGCTTCTGCCTCTTCTATTTCCATGTTGTCTTGGTTCAGTTGTTCTTGGCACTGTTCCTCTAGCTCTCGTTTGTGTATTTGATAGTCTTGCACAGCATCTTCTATTAGTTCTTGATGTTGAGACATTTTTGTTTGTGGCTCCAACTCCATGGGTTCCAGTACATGTACTGGCTGCTGTTGCTGTTGTTGCAGTAGATTGTCATGATTGATAGCATTGTGTCGGTCGTGATCGTGATGTTGATGACCATAACTTGTGGCAGTCGAAGTATCTTGTTCCGGGAGTAGATTGAGTGACAATTCTATTTGCTGTGGGTCGTCACTATCTTGATGTACATAGGGTCGTAAATGTCCTTCTTGGCTGACATCCTGGACTTCTTTTAGCTCTCGAGACAGTTGTGATGCTGCCTCGGACATGAGTGTTTGTAGCTTGTGGATGGACTCTCTGTTACTGTCGCTGTCGTCTAGCAATAATCCAATATCCTGGTCTTCCTCGTCTTCGTCATCTTGCCGGAGATCATGTGTTGTTGTTGGCGATGCTGGAATATGGTTCTCCATATCCAACACAGAAGATGTTCTGGAATTCCATCCAAATCCCAAATCTTCCAGTGATGCCGAAGATGCGGCGGAGAATTCATCGGACCATAAATCGGATAGCAGGGTAGCATATGATTCCGGCCGAGTTAGCATGGATTTGTTTTTGGTAGCAGCAGCATCTGGAGTAGTGTTGAAACTACTATTTCTTTGTTGTCTCAGTTCTTGTTCTAGCAACCCCTGGGCCATTTTCTCCAGGTCTGCCTTGAAATCTTCTTCCAAATGCTCCAGATTGTGCACATCGGTATCGACCTGTCGGTGGAGTGCTTCTAACTCTTCTTGCAATAAATTCTCTGCCTCTTCTTCTTCATCCGTGGTAGAAATTGTAGTACCGGTATGGGCAGATGCTGCTGGAGAGAGAAGCACCCTATTAGTGGCACCTCTGCTGGGAGTGGCAATACCTGTACTTGTACTGGTAGAGTATGACTTTTGGATCTCTGCAATCTTGTCATCGTCTCCCTCTTGCTGCTGGGCCAGTCGAGACTCTATACGGGCAATCAATGCACGGACAGGAGATACTGACACAGCTGAGGGGTCTTGGTCATCACTATGCATACTTGAAATGGAAAATGTGTGATCCGCAGTGCAAGAGGTCACAGAACCGGAAGTCTCGGAACCTGGAGGAGCACTACCTGTACTACCACTACCACTGGCAGTGACAGTAACAGAAGGAGGATCTTTGTCTCCAGAAACAAATCTTCTTTGCCGTTTCTTCAGAGCCATCTTGGCAGTGGCAGTGGATACAGATACCCCTGATGTCTCTTGAGTTGGATGGGTATGAGAAGCCTTGACTGTCACTCGGTCCTTGCCACCACTGGAGGCTGTGCCGTTCATGCTATGCTAACTAATACACAGAGTTTGCCACCAATAAAGCCATGGAAAAGCAGGACCATACCGGTACATGTTGATCCTCCACACTTGATCGTTGACAACACTCGCATGAAGGGCCAAGTGATTCGATTCCCACGACGCCTGGAGAACAGGAAAGAAAACGAACTCCAAAACCAGCGCACAGTGTCACAAAACAACGGCGACTTGGACAGCTGCATCACCGTCTCACAGTGAGAAAGAATGACCCGCCCGTCCCGCGGACAAATTTAGCGAGAGGGTTACCTTCAACCACCCATCCCTCACTCAGTAGATTGCAGCGGCAAACGAAACCACAGCAGTTCAACCAAGAAACTCTAGCTAGCTAGATCTAGCTACAAGCTACCGGTAGGTAATGCATAGTCTATGTTTGACTTGATGAGCCAAACATTAGAGGAAGTATGTACAGTACATGTAGAAGCCATCACCTCAAGGATTGCCTCTCAATCCTGTACCCCCAACAGCATTGGAACAGCCACAATCACAGCCACAGAGCAAGTTGGAACAATCAAAGTCAAGGGAGCAAGGGAACGGGCCACCATACCACCAAGCTTCATAGGAACAAGAGGAACTTTGGAGGGAACACAATTCATCTGTAACCATTCCTTCCAATCCAGGGCTGCCAGAAATGTCCAGGAAGCTGAGCTTCTTTGACAAGAAGACATCAAATGGAAATGATCCACTCAGGAGAGGTAAACTTGATAGATCAAGCTCTTGTAGGTTGTCAAGCTGCCCCAACTCAGACACCACTGGCCCACTCAAAGTGTTGTTTCTCAGGTTTAGCAACTTTAAAGATTCCATCATTCCAAGCTCACTGGGAATGGAGCCAGAGAATCGACAGCTGGGTAACCACAGACCAAGCAACTGTGTCAGCAATCCCAGTTGGCTGGGCAAGTATCCATCAAAGGAATTGCTTCTCAGATTCAGTACAGTCAGCTGAGTGAGAAGACCAATTTCAGACGGCAGTGAACCAGAGAGCAAGTTGCTCCCGCCATTCAAACCGGTCAACTTTGTTAGCAACCCAATCTCACTTGGCAACAGGCCCGTAAAGGCATTTTCCGAAATGCGCAGGCTTTCCATGCTGACAAGCAATCCAAGCTCCGATGGGAGAGCACCATGGAAGGAATTCTGATAAACACGAAAGGAAGTCATGTTGGGCATCAATCCAAGTTCCGTTGGCATGGACCCAGTGAACAGATTGGCATAGAGGTTCATGATTTCCATACTGGACAGCATCCCAATTTGACTTGGCAAGGCACTTGTCAAGGAATTTCCCCACAAGCTCATGGCCTTTGTAGCTGTTAGCAACCCTATTTCACTAGGCAAGGGGCCAGTGAACCAGTTTTGAGACAGTGACAACTGAGTGATGTTGGCCCACAACCCCAGTTCCGATGGTACGAAACCGCTGAGTGAGTTACTGGCAACAGTAAATGTGGTCATGTTGGTAAGTAATCCAAGCTCACTGGGCAAGGCGCCGGACAAGGAATTTCCATCCATCCGCATTAATTCCATGCTCGTGAGTAACCCAACTTGTGATGGTATGAAACCGCTGAAGGAGCTCTTGCTCAAGGAAAGTGACTCCATGGTTTTCATCGACCAAAGCTCGGATGGTATGGGGCCACTGAGAGAGTTTGAACCAACATGGAGCAGAGTTGTGCTTGTGAGCAAAGCCAACTCTGTTGGTAAAGAGCCGTAAAAGCCGTTTGTATGCAGGTAAATGTCTCTCATGTGGGTAAGCCTGCCCAGTTCCGACGGTATGGTCCCAATGAATGAATTCTGATTCAGGGCAAGCCTGATCAGACTTGTGAGGTTCCACATCTCGCTTGGGATTTCGCCGGATAAGTCGTTGCTGTGCAGCACAAGTGACTTCAAGTTCATGTGAGTGAGGAATTCAAATGGCAAAAGTCCATCCAATGAGCCACTGACTTGATTGAAAGGCAGAGCCAAAACGGATAGATCTGTGAGGAGAGCAATCTCAGGTGGTACCGTCGGGTTTTTCCCAGCTAGTCGCAAGTCTTGAAGGATCAGTGACTGGTACTTTCCATCTGGGTTGCAGGGTCCATCCTTGCCAAACCGCTCATCTCCCTGGATGTACTTGCCATTGGCATCAAACGCGCCAAACTCGCTGGAAAACCACATGCACTCATCAATTTCCTCGTTCATCCATGTCCTCTGGATATTGTCCGGCCAGAGTGGGCCCTCCATTGCATAAAAGAATGTGGCCAAGGCAAACAGTTGCATCAGACGCCAATCTGGAAAGTTGGTTACATTCTGGTGATGTGACAGCCACTGCCATGCTTTCCATTGAGGTGTGTCACTGCCATTGTTCAATCTCGCCAGAGTGGAGCTTGGCAGCAGCTCCATGAGTAGCACATCTAGGACGCTTGTGGGCGCCAACGACGGCACCTGGGAAGGTTCGTAGTCGGTGTCTGCCGCCGTGTCTTGCTTGGATTTCAGTCCAACACCCAAACTGATCGCGAGAATAACAATGGAACAAAGAAGGACTGCCAATCCCACCTTTCGATAGTGCCCGTTCGGGTTTTCCTCTTTTGTTCTCTCTAACTTTAACTTCTTTTGCTGTTGTCTGGATCTTCTTAATTGCTGCTCTTCAAGTACGGCCACATCGACTTGTTGTGCTTCCTGAAAGATGAGCTCTTTGGATTCGTCAAAGACGGCCGTGGCTTCGACAAGTCCTGCCGACGAGCCGCCATGAGCAAAGGAAGGCCTGGTGGGGGCCGTGACACTAAAGACATCGGATGCTTCCTTGAAGTAATTGGAATTGTGATCACTATAGGCTCCCACGAGCTCAAAATTGAGACTTTCAACGCGCTGAAAGGTCTGCCCCACGTAGGCTCCAGGACGGCTGGGTTGCTGGCTGGCACGGGAATGGACACTGGAAGGTTGCAAGGGGATGGGCTCCAGTCCTCCCACCAGATCGTCCATGAATGTTTGATGATTCGAGTTATGTACCAAGGGCGCAGAATCATTATCATTTTCATTGTTGGTCACATTGGGTGTCACATTGGCTGTGGATGTGGCAGGCCTTTCAACCTGACGGGTCAAGACCTTCCCGTGTCTTTCTGTCATCGTTGTACTTGTAGTACTAGTACTTAAAGTTGTACTCGGAGTACTAGTATCGGTACTAGTTGTAGCCGCGGGCTTGGCAACCCCTGCTGCACGTAGTTTTCCAGCGATCTCTTCTTCTTGTGATATGGTTCGAAGTCCATGCTGGGCTACTGGACTCGAGGCAACCGAATGGACACTGGAAGGTTGCATGGGGATGGGCTCCAGTCCTCCCACTAGATCATCCACGAACGTTTGATGGCTGGAGCTTTGTACCATGGGTGCAGAACCATTATCCTTGTCGTTAGTAAGGGTCACATTAGACGTGGCTGTGTCAGGCCTTTCAGTCTGGCGGTTGATGGCCTTTTGGTGTCTTTCTGTCGCCGTTGTACCAGTAGCACTGCCGGTAGTGCGAGTACTCGCAGTAGCAGCAGGCTTGGCAACCCCAGCTGCACGTAGTTTCCTCGAAACTTTGTCTTCTTGTGATAAGGTTTGAAGTCCATGCTGGGCTGCTGGACTCGACACAACAGAGGACGCACCAACATCAACACCAATACCCACTGTGGTATCTGTAGCGGTACCCATACTGGCTTCTTTTTTGGCTGGTTGCGGCTTGCTTTCGCTCTTCATGGTTCCGTCGGTCAGATCAGCAAGGGGAGCTTGCTATCTTGGTGGTTAGCTGGCTTCAGAGCAAACAAAATGAGTCGAGTCGAGTCGAGTCCATTATTTTTGCAGGGAGGCAACGAGCGAAGCCTTTGAGTGACCAGCACACGCTGCGGACATTGTTTGGTACTCTGGTACTGTAGTGTTGCTAAAGGTCACTTCGTCACTATTTTCGCTCGGCGACATGGCTTTGCTTAATGTGATGAAGTCATCATGACCGAAAATCCAACCGGCACTCACAAGCAATGACTCTACTAGCTATTGAAATGCTCAGTCCCTTACTGTAAGATATTACTCAAAGAACTGGGATGCTCTATCACTCAGTTGAATCTTGCTTTCATTCAGATTGAATCGAATCTGAATTCAATGGATTCCTCCCTCTACCGTAGCATCTTTTCAATGGCCACTTGATGAAAATGAAGTTTTCCAATAGGGTCTCATTCCAAGCTTTTAGCTTTGCGGGAATCCAAAGCTTGTTGCACTGTGGACGTAGTCTAGTAGAAGAACATTTTGTGTTTCAGTCAGAGCATGTTCCAACGCATTTTTGACCCAACTATATATCATATGTCAATGGCATGCTCTTCAGTATATCTTACACACGTGAAATCTGAGTGTCAGGAGTAGTCTACTAGCTAGTCAGTCTTTAGAGACTACTACGGTAGACATAGCTTTTTAGGAAGTGAGGACTTCTGCACCAACCGTCAATGCATGTACACTGCGTGATTTATCTTATGCATATCTTATGCATGAGGGTTTAGTGGAGCCATCACCAATGTGTCCAAGACCATCGCTGGCTGTTGTCTGTCGTCTTCAAGTGCCACCTTGCCACCACCAATCTATTTGTCCAAGACCAAAAATTGGTTTAGACGCCACGGGTCCTATCTATGTACATGTACCGGTACCAACTGGTAGGCAGCAAACGCCGGAAATGGGCCGGAAGCTGTTGTGTGACAATCGAATAGCTATCGAATCGAATGATTCAATCTTCACTCTACTTGCTACGCATATGATAGCTAGCTAGCACTCGAGTAGCTAGCCAGCTAGTTGAAGCAACCCGAGACGCTTCCATTTCGAGAAGTCGTCCCTGTACTGGTACCAAGAGCGAGGAGGGCCCTCAATCCCTGAATGCGAAGCTTGTGGATTTTTAAAAGATTCGATTCATGGAGTCGAGTGACAGTCAAGTCGAGGCATCATCCGGTTCGATGCCGTTGGTCGGAGCAATTTTGTAAATCTCAGTACTCTAGTAGTAGAGCGCAGTAGATCTACCTTAGTGAGACCGATTGCTTTGATGAGCCAAGCCAACCCACACCACAACATGATGTGCACTGGGAGGGTAAAAACCAGAATCAGTCGTGTTCCAAGCATCCTCGGTCCCGTTCCAAGCATCCTCGGTCCCGTTCCAAGCATCCTCGGTCCCGTTCCAATGCAGTCGTGGACCGAAAATGACCCGTGACTGCGATTGAATGACTATCCAGTTACCAGCTTGCATGTACTACAGTAGAATCAACCACAACAACGACCAAGAAGAAGCTATGTACATGTACCGGTTACAGTAACCGGTACTGGGGGCACATGTCAATTAAAAAGAGTACTGAGTAGAGAAGCTTTCTAGATGTGTTTCTAATGCTTCCATACTCAATGACCAATTCCAAGCTCAAGGGATTTGTTCTTTAAATACAGATGAGCCGTTCCAATAGAAAGCGCGCCCTTTCAAATAAATTGGGACCATCGCCCTCACAATTTTGGTTTGGGAGCGCAAAAAGGGTGGAGGAGGAGCAGACAGCGAGTTCCTTGGAGGGAGTACCGGTAGATAGAGGCTACGACTGTACGAAGTACTAGTAGTTTTTCCTTGGCAAGAATACCCAACAATCACTTCTGGCGTCAAAAGATCAGCATGAGAAGGGGAAAACGCCTAAGTTGGTTCTGAAGGTTGTGCTTTGCCGGTACCTGGTACGCTTCTTCCTGAATATTATACCGGCACTAGTAGCGGGCCTACGGTACCGTACCAATGACGTACACTGGCAGAGTCCAAGCATCCAATCCACGAGACATCGGCCTCTCAATTGAATAAAAATCAGCAGGATGCAAATCTGGTTCCATTCAAAGGAGAGTCGCAAAGGTGGAAGCGTTCACCGAGTGGACGTCACAGGTGCTCAGTCGTCAGCGCCACCAACACGAAGTGAGCCAGGAACAGCAGGGTAGCACTCAAGAGCAGGCAATCGCTTGAAAAGGCTGACAATGCACTGAGAATGAAGAAGGTGCGTCGAAGAGATCACCGTTCTCGCACGGATGCTTCAACACCACGCACTGACAAATGTGATCACTCAGAAGAGGCGAGACTTGACAAGAACAACACAAAAGTGAGGATGATCAAAGAACGCCTGATGCGGTCCTCTCCCGCTGGACTCCAACTCCAAACGTAGGTAAATTACTTTCTAGCTAATCAATGCAAGAGAAGTCAGAGACACGGAGACCACCGACCAAGAACCAACCAGGGTCACGGAGTGCGAGGCAACCAACCAACAAAATGTCACGGTTCGTCAGGCAGCCAGCTTGCCAAAACAACCAACAACAGGGACAAGGTTGGTGTGAACGCCAAGGAGAACCAACCAACAGGAAAGGAAGAGCCACGACAAGAGGAACAGCGAGCGACCAACGTTCATCGGTAGCACTATCGAGCCAGTCAACCAAAAGGAAGAAGCACTGCAAAAAGGAACCGCCACAACTTTCCACTGGGGTCTCTCGAAAGATTGCCCCACTTCCAGCGTGTTCTGAGCATGGCTTTGTACCGAACATCTTGACCGACCCAACCGACAGGAAAAGGAGCAGCCACCGCAAGAAGGAACAACCTGACTTCAAGCGTGGTCTTGCTACTACGGTCAAGTCTGTTCATCGGGGTCTCTCAAACGTCGCCCCGACTTCGAGAATGGCTTTGTATTCCAAACATATTGACCAACCAACCATCGAGCGAACTAGACTTCGGACACGACCAAAAGAAGAAGCCGAGGACGAACCAACCAAGAGATCACTAGGCGATCAAGGCCCGACCATGGAAGAACCGAGGATCCCAACAGCGCCCTGCGACTTCGTCGTTGCTCCAAGCGACCCGCAAACAGAAGAACCAACGTTACCTTGAACGAGGACGAACCAACGAACCAACCGACCGTAATGGAGCGAACACTGGCTGAGATAGCCCTTCAAGCAAGCGGAAGCCTAGCAGCAAGGGATCCTTTGCGTCTTTTGCATCAATCAACGAATTGAGCTCGGATGCCAGACAAGGACAGCCAAGACGACGACGACGACGACGAACATATATGGAGGCAGGAAAAAAGCTTCCGAAGAAGAAACGAACGACACTTTTGTTTTTAAAAGCAAACAGGCAACCCGATAACGGTATGGAAGTGATGGAAATCGTCACTCTGGCAGAAGATGTAGCATGAGACGGCATGGCTTAACGGACGGGGTTGACAACAACAACAACAACAACAGCGGCAACGAGGACCGCAATCAGAGAATGAACTCGGATGGGGGGAGTTGAATGAGAATGATGAGCCGTCAATCAAGTTGGAGATGACCAAGCGCCCTTCGATTTTGTAGACGCCACCGCCCCCTGCAAGGCCGCATTGGATGGCAAATCTGAGCCTTCGAGATGACAACAATAGCGCGTTGTAATTTCGGTTGAGATGGCTGGTGTGCTGATCTGCTCCCTCGAGGGCATAGTAGTGGCCCAT